CTGAATTCTGTCTCCACTGAATTAAAAAAAAATAATAATAATAACAGTAATCTTTATTTATAGAGCACTTTCAATATGGAAATTCAATTAAAGAAATTCTAATTAATTAAAATCATATAAGCAAGACAGATCAAATTGAAAAGATAATCACCAAAAGACAGGTAGAATTTTAATTAAATGCTGTGTTAAAGAGATACATTTTCAAATTTTTTTTTAATGTTTTGCATAAATACAAGGCCGTAGTACTGAAGATGCAGCAGCTACACTGGTCCATTTTGTGTTAAAACATTTGGACAAACCTCATATATTTATTCTTTTTCTGGATTTGGCATTTGCATTTAACACTATTCAACCCAGTACTGTATTGTCAAAAATGGTTCAATAAGATATTAATCCTTATTTACAGCAGGTGGAAGTAAATAAAACACTATCACTGCCCATTAAAACTGATGTTGGAGCACCACGACTATGTGTAAAGTCTCTGCTTCTGTGTATACTGTATATAAAAGACTGTAAAGGTCAGGAACCAAATCATTTTATTTTTAAATATTTAGATGATTCTATGTTATTAGCTCTGTTGATGGATAATGATGACATCAGTTTATTTCAACAGGGTGTTAATAGGCTGGTAGAGCGGTGCAACCAGAATGTTGTTATTATTAATACAAATAATAGAGGAGATATTTTTGGTCTCCCTCGTCTGATTTATATCCACCGCCTTTACAAATTCATAATCAGAAAATTAAGCAGGTCATGTTGGATAAATACCTTAGTGAACACATAGATTGAACACCCCTGCACTACAGTAATCCAGAGTAATATGTAATACTGTGTGACAGCATTGTCTTTTGATGAAATTAAAGACAAGACTTAGACTGATACAAATCTGTTCCATGATTGTTTCACAGCAGCCTATTGGAAAAGTAGGGAAAGATTAGCATGGAGTATTTCATCTGATCCACTGAGTGTGGCCCAGTGTCTGTTTGGTCTTATTCATGCATGATCTTATCGTATATCTGTTAGCATGTTATTTATTATTATTATTGTTATTATTATTATTACTACTACTACTACTACTACTACATGTCGGACCTTTCAGGGGTCTCTAGAGACTACTGGGACATCCAGGAGGTCTTCAGTAAAGAAGACCCCCTACCTGGAAGACCCCTGGGCCCTTTTGTTCGACCATCGAAGCCCAAAAGGCTTTCAAGGAGATCAAGGCACGGTTAACACCCCCCCGGTTCTCCAGCTGCCTGACCCAGAGGAACCATTTGTCGTGAAGGTAGACGCCTCGGATGTTGGTGTGGGTGCGGTACTCTTCCAACGCCTAGGTCCAGCCAAGAAGCTCCACCTGTGTGGCTCTCATGGGGCCATTTAAAGTCTACCGGCGAATTAACCCAGTCACCCATTTTTTACACTGGCTGTTCGAGCCTGACTCTGAACCTCCTCAACCCCAACGGGCAGAATCACTCCATTTGCACTCCGTCACCTCACTAGTTCATTTAAGACCCTTTCTCACGGGTTTTCCTCTCTGCACTTGGGTCTGCCTCCCTGCTGTCCCGTAACATCCCCTTCATGCGTTCGGGAAGTAATAGCCACAAACACTGGCGCTGTGCATGTTACGGGGACTTGACAAATAATATCTGCTGTGCCATAGTCAAATTCAAAGTGGTCAGAGTGAATGTCGAGGCTGGCAGCTGCAGAAATATTCCTTCCATGGCAACACAACAAGCAATAGTATTGCACTTGCTCACTACGAAACACTATAGAGACTGTTCGTATCATTTTACTGTTTAAACGGTGCTCCACATAGGAACCGATCACACAGGCTTTGTGGTGAGCAACTTTAATCATGGGACCACTCTGCACCGGCACACTGCATGCCATTAAGTGTGGTTTAGCACTTGGTGTAGCATTTGTAGCTCCAAGAGAAGAATCAGGTTGCTTTTCAGTAGCTCCTTGATGAACAATCTCCTTTTCCAAACACAACCAACACAAACACATTTCAGTTAAGTAAACAACAACAACAACAACAACAGTGGGAGAGTGACGTGTGCAAGTGTAAGCCGCATTTCATGCGGTTAACATTGTTTGCGCTTAAAACCTTCTGGCAAACGAAGGGTTAAGCTTGCTGAGAGCTGCTGTGCCAGTAGCAACCAATCATAATGGAGAGTTCGTCTTTATCCCGCCCAGCGGCTACTGAGAGAGTGCGATTAGTACAACTCAGCTTTCTTATTGGAGCTGCTCTGCTAGCTGTAGCGAATCGCAGTTGAGGATTCAGTTGTTCAGTCTAATGGAGCCCCCCTCCCTCTCCCTTTCTCTTCTTCACTCGTGCTGAGAAGAGAGCAGAAGCTTAGAGGGAAACACTGTGAGAAAACTTGAAAAGTAGCTCAAAAGAAACAATAAAAGTCAATACAAGTTAGGTGTCCTAATGAAAAGAGACCCGAAACCCTAATCTCCCAGTAATGTGTGTGAAATCCCACAGTGTTAGCTGGAACAAGGCGATTACTGGTTAGAGCTGGTTGAGGCAATCCAGCAGACATTCTAGAACATTCCAGAGGTCAGGGTGAGGATCATCAGAGCCTGGTTGGATCTTCCGAGAAGTCGATGGCACCCACGAATAGAACGGTTTTCTTTGACATCAGTCTTCACTACGGACTGGTGAACTAACAAAAACAAGACTAAAAGACTCTTTATTCACTATCTCCTTTTGTGAGCAAGCATCAGTGTTTCAGTTACTTGTTATTTATTTGTTTTTGGGTTTTTTTTTCCCTCTGCTGACAAACAGTGTTATTTAAGTTAAGGGTTTAAATCTGTCTAAACTATATCAAACTAAATTAGAGAAATATTTCTAGCTAAGCTTCATACCAAAGTAACAATAAATCTTAAACAATAATAATCCAACTAAACTAAAGAGATAATTTAACACTAAACCCAAAGTCTTAAGCCTTAACTAAATCAAAGATAACTAAACCTTAAACCCATTAAACTAGAACACAGATAGGACCAAATTGAATTTAATGTAGAATCAACTCGAACTCGGGGACAGAAGGAAGGTTGTTGAATGTTTTCTTTACTTTGTGTTTTGTATGTACTTTTATCATCCAGTAAAGAGACTCTTTATTTATAACACTACTCCTGTCTCCTGTGTATGCTGTCACACACCTTCCACCTCCTCAACGAACCTGGTTGTACTGGTCCATAGGCTTATTGCAACTTCAGCTTTTGCATCTAGTTCGCAGTGTTGCTGCTGTAGTCCATTAGTGGGCTAAAAGGGCTTACACAAGCACGCCACACCCCTTGAGCCACCACGAACTGCTAAACCTGTTTACGCCACAATACCTTTTTGTAGACGCACCACATCAATAGTGAACAATTTGGACTGAGTAAGTGTCTCTAGAGGACTCAGTTCACATCAAGAAATCTGAATGGCTTTGTTTATTGTTCATTGAATTATGCAAAACTATGGAAGCCCATTAACACCATTTAAGATTAAACACAATTCAGTATCATATTATTTTCTCAGTATTAAATAAATGGCTATGCCTTTATTTTGCGATAATAAGTCATTAAACTGAAATATTATCGTATTGATTTGAGATACTAGGTTAATATTTTTTATATTATTCTTCAATGAAATACAAGATAGCATCTAAACATTATGACTTAGTATGGCAATGCCATAGCAACTCACCCAATAATGAAAAAAAAATAGAAATTATTAAATTAATTACATTTAGATAGATTTTTAAAATTATTTTTAATTGGTGGAAATGCGCTTTCATAGGGGATTCCCCTTTAATAACTTGCGCCTTTACATTGGAAAAAAAAAGCTCAAAAAGCTCAGAGTACTGAACTAGGAGTCAACAGTTACTTTCGGTTTGTATGTGAGCGTTACAACAACAGCAGCGCTGGATGGTGGAGTTTAGCTCAGTATGTCACTTTCAGGTACCAAACGGCCGGACTCGGCTTTCTATTCTTCTTCTTTGCAGTCTAATTGTAGCCTGAAGGGCACGGTTGCCTTATTCGGAGTCTTGTGAGGTGAACGGGCTTCTAGAACGGCGTGTTGTTCAGAGCAATGACGCAACAGAAAAACCGTGTGCGGTGTTTAGTGCGATAAGTTACCCATATATAAGTGAGATGGTGCTTTTAGTCCAGGTCTTGTGTGAGATGGTGCTTTTAGTCCAGGTCTATGTGTATTTATTTAGTTTATTCGCCACATTTTTATGTTTAACTATATATACACACAGTTCCTCTAACCCTCCCGTTATTTTCCAATGTACCAGCGTCTGTATCTTTGTCCGTGTCCTTTTTTCTTTTTTTGTCCCAGCTGTTTACACCTCCAGAAAATGATTAGTGCTACATTTGTTACCCAGGTTTATGTTCCAAGTACTTAATTTCTTTGCAATAAAATAAAAAATAATGTCAATCGTTTATTTGGAGACGTTAAACACTGAGCGGGGTCAAAAGATAATAGGAGGGCTACAGGAAGCATGGAAAGAAGGAAAAAGAAGGAACCATAGGGGGGAAATGGAAGCCCACTCCCACAACTGAAAACAAAATCCAGCACATTATTACTATTTCATTATTAAGCGAATTGCTATGTCGATTCACTTAATAATGAAAAAAGGTGGTAGATTTATTTTTATTTTAGATGGCGGGAATGGGCTTCTATGTGGGATTCCCATTTTAACGGTGCGCTCCTTTAAACTGGAAAAAAAAGCTGTCATTTTAGTGCTTTGGCTTTAAAAATGAGAGACAGTGTCAGCCAAGCATTTTAGTGCAAGGGTGGACCGATAAGACCGATACAGTGTAATGGAGTGTGTGCGCATGGAGGAATAACGGGGCAGCTCTTCTGGTTGGAGAGTCGAGGCAGTTCTTGACCCGCCCTGTGGACTGAACTGAGGAGTCAGCCGTTACTTTTGCTTTGTATGTAAACGTTACAGCTACAGCAGCGCTGGATGGAGGAGTTTAGCTCAGTATGTCAGTTTCAGGTACCAAACGGCCTGACTCGGCTTTCTGTTCATCTCCTTTACAGTCTAATTGTAGCCTGAAGGGCACGGTTGCCTTATTCGGTGAACAGGCTTCTGGAAAGCTGTGTTGTTCAGAGCAATGACGCGACAGAAAAGCGTGTGCGGTCTGTAGTGCGACAGGCAACGCATGTAAAAGTGAGATGGTGCTTTTAGTCCAGGTCTTTGTGTATATTAATGTAGTTTTTAATGCTTTTTTACTATGTATGCACAGTTGCTCTAACCCGCTGATGTACCAGCGTCTGTCTCCTTGTCCGTGTCCTTATTTGATCCCAGCTGTTTAAACCTCCAGACAATTAGAGCTACATTTGTAAGCTAAGTTTATGTGTCAAGTACTTTATTTCTTTGCAATAAAATAAAATGACGTCAATCATTTATTTAGAGACGTTCAACACTGAGTGGGGTTAAAGATAATAGGAGGGCTAAATGAACCCGAACCTTAGAGCGTTTAGCTTCAGGTACTAAGCAGCCCGTTTGGGCTTTCTATTCCTCCTCCTCTGTTCTTCTCCTCCACTGTCTAACTGTAGCCTAAAGGACACCTTCTTTCCGGTGTGTATTAAGAAGGTAAATAGGCTTCACACCAGATCTTTGTGTATTTATGTAGTTTATTCACCTGATTTTGATCCAAAGCAGCAACAAAAGAAGTAGAATTGGACTGTGACGATGATGTTTACAGTTTGTACAGTTTTCCAGGCAGTTGAACCGGTTTTCATGCATCTTAAATGAAAGCGCACAGTAGTGAAAGTTAACTGACTGCATCATGTCATGTCATCCAGTCGTTTTGCTGATGATACAGATACATTACAAGATACTTAAGCAAGAACAATGGCAAAGCTGTTGCTGTAGCTCTTTACATCCAGTTGTTGTGTTATTACGGTGAACTTAATTTACCTTTGTGTCAGCCTCAGACAGAAAACGTGTGTGAGTGTGTTTGTGAGTTTGAGTGTGTGAGTGAGTGAGTGAGTCAGTGAGTGAGAGAGAGAGAGAGAGAGAGAGAGAGAGAGAGAGAGAGAGAGAGAGAGAGCACAGCTGCAGTGATAAACAGCATATTGTTTGCATATGTTGTTCAGCATAAACTGTGGAACTAAAGCTGAGAAAGGTACATTAGTCCCTAATGAAAACTTTTGAATGTGTGTTTTCAGATTCTTCACTATTTTACCATTACTAATATAATGTGTGGACACTCAGAAGACGCCTGTGGGTTCACTTGTCATTTTGGATAATGAATACATTTTTTTGTTATAGAGATCACGGCTACTGCTTTAAATTGTGGCAGAAGTCTTGAGAGATGAGGACCTTAAAAGGTCCTGTCTACTCATTTTCTTCTGTTATCTGTAATTTTTGTGATATTTTACTATGAACAGGCAGAGAAAGAACGCTGTTCATCTTTTCTATTCAGAGATTTCTAAATGACTTTTTCTACCATTTTCTTTTGTTGGATTTGAGTTGGGTGGGACTAAATTTGATCTAGGTGACGTCAAATCTGTCACTACTTATGTTCCTCTCCGTCACATAAAGTGACTGATCTCTGGCTGAGCCCCCGCCCAAACTCCCAGCAAGTAGGTTATTTAAACTTTTCTACATTTGTTAACAGTGTTTGTTATGAAGGTTTATTACACTCATAGCTAGACACTGTCTCCTACTTCTGTTATGAAGATGCTGCGATTAACTTAATTTGTGAGAGTGGGACAGCTTGCGGTCCACATTAAATGCAGAAAAAGCTAATACATCAGCTGCCTCCTCTTAACATCAGGGCTCACCATGATTCCTCACAAATTTAACCTACTTTGCAAGCGTGACACACAGTAAATGTCAGCAAATATGACCGAGCCGATATATAACATGACCTTGTGTGACCTCAGTTTCAGAAGCACGGTCCAGCAGTTAGCTAGCTAAGTAAAGGTTACGACAGTGATCTCCAACTCTAACCCTGGAGAGCAACCTTCCTGTAGAGTTTAGTTCCAACATGTATCCAAGAAAGTTGCCCCGCCCCTTACTTAATCACCTATACTTCTGATCCAGCCAGTCAGGGACTAGCTGAAGCAGGTGTGGCAAATTGTGGTTGGAAGTAGGTTTTGCAGGAAGGCAGCTCTCCAGGACCAGGTTTGAGACCGCTTGTTTATGTTGCCAGGGAGCTGCCTCTGTGAATCATTTCTTGTTCTGACATGCATACACAGTTAAGAGCAGGCATTTTTGGAGCATTTGTATGCTATTAAATTATGATTTTTCTTTTATTTACTTTACTATCAAAACAAATATTTATATACATTTGAGACTATGTTGACCTTGTGGTTTGAGTGGGTTGAAGTGAGTTTTTTGGATGTATTTACAGTGAAGATTTGGGGTGACTCCTGATTTGTACTGTTTGTAAAGTTAGTATCGAAGCTCGAATTTTTAAGTAAAGAAGCCAAATTTGGACATGAAACAACTCTTGTTGACATTTAATTTTTCTGTCAAAAATCCCTTTAATGCTCAGGAAGCAATTTTAGACAAAAACCTTTTTCTCTGAATATGTAAAACAGCTGTCAGCAATACTCTGTATTTAACTAATTAATCACAGATTTTCAACTGCCAAAGCCTGATCGTCTTTTTTTTTGTCTTCACAGGGCAGCACAGCTTTCTGCGAAGTAAGCCAAACTTCTGTCTAAAGACTCTCCTGGTGCTTATCATCCTGTTAATCATCTTCTTCATTTTCTACTTAGAAAACAGTGTGATTAATATTAAGCCTCATATAGTTTATCCTGGTAGGAAAGGAACACAAAAGGAGATTGTTCATCAAGAAGCTACTGAAAAGCAACCTGGTTCTTCTCTTGGAACTACACATCCAACAACAAGTGCTGAACCACACTTGGCATGTGGTGTGCCGGTGCAGAGTGGTCCCATGATTAAAGTTGCTCACCACAAAGCCTATGTGATCGGTTCCTATGTGGAGCACCGTTTCAACAGGAAAATGATACGAACAGTCTCTATAGTGTTTCGTAGTGAGCAAGTGCAATACTACTGCTTGTTATGTTGCGACGGAAGGAACATTTCTGCAGCTGCCAGCCTCGACATTCACTCTGACCACTTTGAATATGACTATGGCACAGCGGATATTATTTGTCAGGTCCCCATAACATGCACAACACCAACGTACGTGGCTATTACTTCCCGAACGCATGAAGGGGGCGGATCTGCATGGAATATACAATCCTTTCAACCTGTTGGGAATCAACAGCCCAGGACAGAAAACTTCCCTTATGATTTTACAGTATGTTTATCTGTAATGTATAATTACACGAATGTGTTGAGGCTTGTGCAGACCATGGAGATGTTCAAGCTGCTTGGTGTTCAGAAGGTAGCCATTTACAAGACCAGCTGTTACCCAGATACGCAGAAGGTTCTGGACTACTATGTTAAGCAGGGCTTTGTGGACATCATCCCATGGAATATGTCACGCTACATCAATGTGGCCAGAGGATGGAAGAAGTCCATTTCACCAGGGGATCTGGAATACTATGGGCAAATTGTGGCTCTCAATGACTGTGTGTATCGCTACATGTATGAGAGTCACTATGTAGCTCTACAAGATTTGGATGAATTAATTCTTCCTTTGAAACAAGATAGCTGGACGGCACTCATTCCTCAGCTGGAGATGATGTACCAACATAATGCAGGATTTGAGTTTGAGAATAACATATTTCCCCTTTCCCTTTTCAGTAATCAGAAACCTGAGAATACACCAGCTTTATGGAAGCAGGTTGAGGGAGAAAACATCTTACCGCATGTATACAGGATACCCGTTGACCCAAAGGTGTTCAACAATTTCAAAGTCATCGCAAATCCTCGGTTAGTGTTTAAAGCTACAGCGCATGGCCTTTTGCATTCCATGAGTGCTACTGTCAGGGTGGACTCCAAAATTGCCCGCATGTACCACATTAAAAATTATTCAAGCCAGTACTTTTCACAAGACTCCGTTATAGAGGATACACGTCTGTGGGACTATTCAGATAAGCTGATTCCTGCTGTATCTGAAGTACTTAGACAAGCACTGAATATTCCCTCAAATCATGGTATAATGAAATCATATCAAAACCTTTTTTTATTTTTATTATTTTTATTTTTTTTGGCTGTTGTGTTTTATGGTTTTAAATTTAGCAGACAACACCCAGAGCTACTACCAATTTAATCATAGTACAGATGTATGAAAATGTAGCATAAGGAGTCCTGCCCTAAGACTCTTAGTGGTGTCACATGGTGTGCTTGCCAGTCAGGGCTGCCCATTCTGCTGTGTGAAGGATGTTGGTATTACCAATGACGCTAGTCTGTGTTTGTTTTTTTTTTCCCCCATGCATATGTCTTATGTATAAGGCTAATTGTTTGTCACAGCGTTAAGAGAAGGCAGCTGTTTGTTCTCGCTGGCAAGAATTTATCTGGGAAAAAAATTGTTTCCCTGGATATCTGAAAGGCAAAGGCTGTTTATGCATTCATTCTGGAATGTGTTGGGAACACTCAGGGAGTTTGTATTGCCAAGAAGCCTTTGCATTTCTGTCAGCTCATTCTGTGCAAAAGTACTACTGTTATATTTTTATAATGTGAGTTTATTTGCACCTTAATCTTTATATAGTAACTGACACTTATTCCAGCTTCCAAAGCCAGTTGTTATCCGTATCTAGAGGAGCGTTTGCCTTTGAGTGTTAACAGCATTGCTGTGGAAGAGCACTAAAAAATAATTTGAGGAACTTTTTTTTCTTTACAACAGCTGATTGTAAAGTTAAATTAAATGCTTTTGCACTTTGTAACAATCCATCAGTAGTTTAAGATTCAATAAGTTATTAAGCCAAGAATTCTGGTTACACTTAAAAATGTCTGTGCCAATCTGCCAATCATTATTCCTCTGACCATTTCACTTTATACACTAACAGCTTCCAGAACCAGATTCATAATAATAATTATTATTATTATTTCTTTGTTATTTTTATTTTTGTATTTGTAGTTGTTATTTTATAATGCCTTTGTATATTGTTGTAACCAATAAATGCAATGAGATTGAATAAGGAATCCAAGGCGGCATGATAAATGGGTATTAAAACAACTGGTTAAATTACATTTATTAGGTACTTTCTTAGTGAAAAGTGCATCCTATATAGAAAACATATATTTTAATGTGTATATACTGTGTATTTGCTAAATATAACATAATGGGAAGAAAAGAAAAACTTGCAGAAGTATGTTTCATATTTTTTGTATGCAACATTTTTTTTCCAGTATGGAAAATTAAGTTCAGCAAATAAATAGAATTAGTGCACTAAAGAAAATTGCATTTTTAAAGTTTACTTTCTGTAAATAACATATACCTATTTTTACCTAAATCAGTCAAACCTTTGCCTATGATTGTAAACAAATTAGAAAGATCATGTTTTTAAGAGATATACATTAGTGCATATACAAAGTAATAAGATTATGATCCAGCCTATAAGATGTAATTTGGGAAAATTACACAAATACTTTCTACTGTACGAATCTGCCAGTCAAACCCTTTACAAATTACATTACCAGACCTCATCTAGTAAAACTAATCCAGTTTGAATAGGGCTTTAGATTGTATTTCTAACTGTTCAAGAAAACACACAAGAGGCATACATACATCATCACAGATGATGCCATTAACGTCCCTCTATAAAAGGCCGTTGCTGAGTGCACATCGATGTGTTTCTCGCTGAAGGCCATGACAAGATCACATAGAGGTCTCCCATAAGCTTGAACAACAAAATAAGAAATGGGACACCTTATCGCCTTGTGGGCACAATTGAGAACTGCAGGACTGTAAGGGCACCATTTGATACGGGGCTTTAGTCTTACAAGCCAGGCTTCTGCTTACTGTCAGAGAGTCTGCAGAGTCTTGTTACTTAACATGACAAAAAACTGCCTACTTTGATTGAAAAGGGCCGTTTGACTGACAGAACAACTAATCATAGACTCTTATTTTTGTGTGACGTAGAGGTGGGTGATTTAGAAACAGCGTTGCAATAAAACAGCCACAGGAAATAGAGTGGTGTAACAATACCTTCCTCCGAAAGACATGGGTAGATAACTGTTTGCAAAACTGTCTTTCCCATCAGAAAGTGTGGACCAATGAGACGCGTCTCTAAGTCAAGTCTACAGCCAAGGCTAGAAGGACCTTTTTAATGCTGGTATAAAAAAGTTCCTTGTCACCGCTCACAGCTGTATCTGCTGTCTTTCAAATGGTGAAGGATTATGGGTGATCAGAGGTCTCCAAGGATACACCAGTGGAGTCCTTCAGTTTCTCAGAAACAAAGATGTGTTTGTCAACCACATATGAACGTCCACAATGGGAGAGTCTTCGGTGATGTAAAGGCATCCTCGGCTGCATCCTTAACTTTGAGACGTGGCTACAGACATGTTGTTAGCCAATAGGAGTGCACCTGTAATCATGATAGGGCAGAGAGGATCATGATCTTTTTTTTTTAAACCAGCTTAATGTGCAGATATCAGGTGGTCAATACCTCTAAGTGTCAGGTCTGTTAAATGCAGCTGTGTGGGGCATGATGGGCCTAATGCTTTGGATTTGGGGGATACGCTGTGTCCAAAAAAGTCAAGCAGATCAGAACCTTAAGGCTGAAACTCTGGACATTTGGGAGAGCACAGTGACCAGTACAAAACAATTAAAGTTCATTTCCTGAAGAAAATGCAGAGTGATCACGCAGCTTAAGCTTACTAAGATGTTGCTAGGCAGTTGCTATGTTATCCCAAGTGGTTGCTAGGGTAATACTAAATGGTTGCTGTGGAGTCCTAGGTGGTTTCTATAGCATTCCAGGTGTTTGCAAGGGCATTGCTAGGTGGTTGCTATGGTATCTCTACCAAGTGCTAAGGTGTTGCTGAATGGTTGAAATGGTATCCCAGATGGTTGCTGGGGTGTTGCTAGGTGGTTTCTATGGTATCCTGGATGGCTACTAGGGTGTTGCTAGGTGGTTGCTGTGGTATCTTAAGTGATTGCTAAGGTGTTGCAAGGTGGTTTCTGTGGTATCCCAATTGGTTGCTAAGGTGTTGCTAGGCAGTTGCTATGGTATCCCAGATGGTTGTGAGAGTGTTGCTGAGTTGATGCTATGGTATCCCAAATGGTTGCATAAGTGATGCTAGGTGGTTGCTATAGTGCCTCAGGTGGTTGCTAAGGTGTTGCTTAGTGGTTGCTATGGTATCCCAAGTGGTTGCTAGGGCATTGCTAAGTGGTTGCTATGGTATTGCAAATGGTTACTTAAGTGATGCCTAGAGGTTGCTATGGTACCTCAGGTGGTTGCTAGGGCATTGCTAAGTGGTTGCTACAGTATCCCATAGCAGTCCCAATCAGACAAACCATTCTGGACAGATCTTTCAAACTCTGTAAAATCCAACACAGTGGATTTGGTGTGATATGTTTTTGACTGCTTATATGGTATCAAATCCTTCAGGGCCTTCATAGGCTGTGTTAGAAGAGAGATGATGCTAAACTCTGCAGAGCAGCAGAGAGAAAGAACCTAGTTTTTCACTTCAATTTTAGGTTATGCAGTCTTACGTTTTTGATATTTTTAAATAATGAAAGCAACCTACACGAAACTAAAACTAGGTTTGTTATCACAGTAAAACTAATGCAGTCTACTTAAAGGAGCAGTTTATTCTGTAATTTGTAAGCTATGTAAAAAGCCTCCCTCAGCCTCATCAGTTTCACAGAATTCACGAATTTGTATCCTTTTGTATTTTTGTCCATCAGTGTTCTCTCACTACAATACCCAGCATGCATTGTGCAAACACGACAGTTATTTCATTGGGAATGCCCACCATGGCAACAAAGAAATGCACTGATATTGTGGCTCCACTGTAGGAGGCATGTAGGCATGTTTATGAAGTGATTATTAATTTTTTTTTTGGCTTGGCCAGAGAGCCCCTTTACACACGTATTAATCCAGTTCAAAATATCAGCAAACTGAGAAGTAAATAAAGTCATGTAAAAGTGTCTGAATGGAAATGGTCCATTCTTAAGAAATTTAAGGCATTATAGGTGGGAACCAAGGGTCATGCCATCTACTGTGCAGTTGTACTTTGTCAGTGAAACAACCAGTAAAGCTACGTGTTTTCTGAAGTTTTATATTAAACGTTGAAAAATGATGAGTATTATATTGTCACAATATAATCTGACAAGACATAAAATCAACACAAAAATGGTTCAGTGACCACTGAATCAAGGTTTTGCCATGGTCATCCCAGTCCCCTGTCCTAAACCACAAAGAAAACCTGTGAGAATCTGAAGGATATAGAGAGGTTCTGTATGGAGGAACACTCTTGGGTCCTTTCTCGTGTTATAAAACTCTCATGGAACATTTTTGGAGACTCAGAGCTGTTATCTTTGCAAAGGGAGGCTGCACAAAGTGTTAAATGACAGAGTTCCAGTAATTGTGGCACACACACACACACACACACACACACACTTGAGAAAAATGTTTATTTTCTGATAATTTTTTTTTTCCAATCATTGTACTTCTATTAAAGGTTAGATTTTTGTTAATATTTTGAATAAAAGATCAAAAGGATCAGCAATAAAGAAGGTTTTTATGGCCTATTTTGCTCTTGTTGTAGGTCCATGGCTGGAGAGAGAGCCTGCTCTAGAGACAGAGAAAAAAGACCTAGACCTAGTTTGGTTCTGTAATATGTAAATACAGAGCTTCTTGTCGCACCTGCACAAGTGTCTGGGCACGCATGTGCTCTCAGCCAGAGCGGCTCAGTCCCTCCCCAGCCCACCGCCACAGTAAATAACCACTGCAATAACAGTATATCTATAAGATCACTTTAGACTAGTATTACATTACATTATGTGTATATATATATATATATATATATATAATATATATATATATATATTAGTATACCCACACACACACACACACACACACACACACACACATATATATATATATATATATAATATATATATATATATATATATATATATATGTATATATGTATGTAAGTTCATTTATAGTGCAGGTCACAGTATAGTTGCAGTACAAAATAAAACAGATGCAAATTGGTAGTGTACTCAAAGTTACTATACCTAAATAGTAACCTAAAAAGTACCTAAAAGTATACTTTCATCTCTTCATTTCAACTAAAAGGTGAGTCCAAATTAGTCACAAGAAGCACTGAAAAGAGTACACAAGTATACTAGTGGTACATTGATATTAGTATAAATTACTACATAAAGTATAACTGGGAAATGTACTTGAACTTAAGTTCACTTAATAAAATGAAATATACTTTTTTTGTTAGAGTAGCGCCATGTCTGAAATTTTGTCTCAGTGCTAAGTCAGAAAGAAAAGCTTGTTCATTAAAATATTTAAAATTTCTTCTGACCACCGTCAGTGAGCCCGTTTTTTTCATGCTAGTATTACACTAACACGAACACCAGAGGCAGTCATTTTGTCACTTCTGTTAAATTAGGTCAATAAAAGAGGACTTACTAATATCTTTTAGATTTGGTGTAGCTGACTCAGTAATAAGTTGTGTAGGTTGCCACAAACTTCCTTGAAACAATCGGATTCATTGGTCAACTAGTTGAGATTAAAAATCACCAGGGATCAGCATTTGTGTAGCAGTATAATGAGATAAACATTGAGCTATATAGTCAGTTGCAGAAACAGAAGCAGATGCAGGCCTGTAGAGCGACCATGACAAATGAATTATTCTGCCTTGGATGGAGCTCCGTCACCTAGAAACGCAGTTCCACTGCTCCACAGCCCAGTGCTGATGGGCTTTAT